TTTTGGTGAATATTTTTGTCATTTTTGGTAAAAAGTGATATTTTCGACTTCTTGTAAAAAACCAATAGTCTGATTGCTTTGATATTACATATATAGGTACTACATGTGGACCTCTCTCAGATTTGTTCATTTTGTGATGATATCTTCAATTCTCTAATTTTGGTGAATATTTTTGTCATTTTTGGTAAAAAGTGATATTTTCGACTTCTTGTTAAAAACTGCAAGTCCGATTGCTTTGATACTATACATATTGTTCATTTTTTAATGATGTCTTCAGTTCTTTAATTGAAATGTGCATTGCTAACAGCGGAGCTATCTCAGCCGATAGGCTGCTTGTATTCTATGGGAGTCAAACCCATCCATGCATTGATAAAAGTCTATGGGAAAATTTGTTAGTTGATCAGATATGGTATGTCTGACATTTGGGTTTACCCCCTCCCCCCATATTTAAATATATATATTATATTCTATGGGAGTCACACCCATCTATGCATTGATAAAAGTCTATGGGAAAATTTGTTAATTGATCAAATATGGTATGTCAGACATTTTTACCTCCTCCCCCATATTTACATTGTATGCATTAGTGGAAACCTATGGAAATTGCTATAATTAAATTGAGTAAAACAATGTATCAAATCTCTTCACAGCATTCAACAAGTTCGTTAAAACTCTAGAAATTGTGCCATTTCAAACAAATTTTCTTATCAGTTGATATGAACTAGTTTGACAATTTATGCTTCTTTCATCCTAATTCTTTGTTTCTATGGTAACCCAGAATGTCTGTATCTGATAATACTTACAACAAATTGATTTGGATTGTGTGTCAATATTTTGCATGTAGTATGGTTTTCTGATATCTGGTTTACATTTTTTTCAGGTTGGTCGAGTGGTACGAGATATTCGGAGGAGTTTCTAAACCAAGCTAAATTGGTTCATTGGAACGGTAACTTCAAACCATGGAAGGGAAAAGCACAGTACAGTAAAATATGGGACCAATATTACATCGCCGATCCAACTGGCACATTTAAAGTCATTAGGAAATATACATAGCATGCAACGGCCAGATGTCACATGACTTGATCCAGTCTAGTTCTTTGGCCGTCAACGATTTTTACAAAATATGCTATTTTTTTTAACCCTTTAAAAATGACAAACTTTTATTGCGTTTCAAAAAAAAAATACATATTATTTTCTAGCATATTTGCAGTATTTCCTCCTTTCCATGTTTTCACGAAAGCTACTTTCATATATATTGAAATTGCATTCCAAGATGGCTGCCATTTTTCCCTTATTTCTAAGAAACATAATTTTAAAAAATATGCATGTTTGGATATAGTACAGTAATATTGGTTTCATTTGTTGAAAAGAACAATTTTATTTTATTGTGTAATGTATCTATGTTTTGTTTACCTCTAGTGACCTCCAGTTATTATCCTTACTGTTTCTTATTGCACCTGTGACCCTTAATTTATTTAGATCAACATAGACAGAATATATAAACTCTACATATAAAAGCATATATATATACTTAACATACAAACTCAACATAGACTCACCATTACAAACTCAATGTACCAACTCAACATACAAATTCAACATAGTCAACATACAATCTCTGCATAAAGACTCAACATACAATTTCAGTGTAATAAACTCGACAAATAGACTCAACATACATGTTCAAATTATTGACTCTACAAACTTAAAATAAAGACACAAGATAAATTGATTCACTGAAAAATAAAATTGATAAGCTCAGCATTACACTGTGGGGAATACATTATTGTATCTCTCCCCCCCCCCCCAACATTTCTCATTACTTAGCTAACCCTGAGATGTTGGCAACATTATTTATTGAATTGTAAACCTAGTGTTCTCTGTCTGTTGTTTTAATTGAGCTGTGGTGGTTGAGGTGGTGGTGGCGGTGGCGGCAGTGGTGGTGGTTGTGGTGGCGGTGGCATTGGTTGCTGGTGGCGGTGGCGGTGGTGGTGGTGTATTTCCTCTGTTAGGAGTGCATCTCCAGTAGAGATGCATGTAAACCAAATACATATATACAAACTATTTATTAACATTTTTAAAAGATGCTAATTTATTGTGCAGCGCTCATTGCATATACGTTATCTGTGTCACATAAGACTTGTATTGATACATCAATTAAGTCGCATACAAATTGATGTCCATTTAGTCACAAATTGATAAAGTTTAACAAAATTGCTGTCTTAAAACTTTTTCCAGGAAAGGTTCTGGCAATGTTACCAACCCAGATCAATAATTTTACTTAAATACTGACTGATGAATAATGTGTTGCAAATTTGTCATGAAATACTATGAAAAATACTGTAAAATTGAGATAATTTAGGTACAATGTCTATTATTATAGAGTACAATGTTTATTATTATACGAGTACAATGTCTATTATTATACAAGTACAGTTTCTATTATTATGCTAATGATATGGTAATTTGCCACATGAATATTAATTGTTTTTTTTTCTTCAGATACCTTCAAAAATACTTTGTAATAATGCTAATTTTACCATATTTGCTCTAGTCAAAGCACATCTCCAATAGAAGTGTTTATAAAACCAAAAATCGCATTAGCTGCATACTAAATTTAACTTTTTTCTACCATAGAAAAATCTCTGTAACTTGTGTAATCGCATGCACTTATAATAGAACAAATATGGTATAGTAATTATTGTAAATATATTTATAAAATAATGATATGCATTAAAGATCCTATTTGATACAGGGTCAAAATCTGCTTTGATGCTTGGCATTACGGAAATATGGATGTAATAATAGTGGGAATTGAATTGAGCGAGGTCCAATCACACAAGCTGAAATGTACAGTATGCATTCTGTGGATACGAAATTACGCTAGCGAAAACCTGAGACGACCAGTTCTATCACAGACGCTCATTTGCATTTACTATTTCAAGAAATGTTTTTTTTTTTTAAGTTTTGCAATTATATCTCAAATCATGTGATTTCAAATATGGGATCTTCAATGCATATCAGATCTATTGCATTACCAGTTTCTCAGTTTGTACAGTGCGACTTTTTTGCCCATCCTGTCACTCTGATTCACGCTTTTATAGCATTTGTGTCGAATAGTTTCCATCACGCATTTTAGCGTACAACACTGGGAATTTAAATGTTTTGGTAAATTTCCACTCCCACGTGAAATGAGTTTAAGATGCAAACAAGCCTAGAAGTTAGCATAAGCTATGCATGTTTAGAGATACCAATTGCAACATTTAAAATGCACTAAATAGATATGCTACAAAATTGTGATGGAAAAAAATGATACTTGCATAAATTGAATGTGATAAATTCGTGACGAGATATCGATACAAAAGTGACACAAACGCGACAATCAAATGCGTAACCCTAAAGTGGTGATGTAATGTAGTTGTTTTACACTCGACAGACGATTTAACAAATAGTTATTGCATATTTTAATGTAAATACAAATGTCAGTGTTTAATTGTATCTGTAAAAAGGGTATTGATAAACTAAAAAATTTAGCCTTGAGTCCAATATTTTGACGTCCAATAATGTGAATGCCTGAATTTGAATTCTTGTTCTTTGTCGCCCTATCTTTATTTAAAAAAATGTTTTTATTCGCAAAAACTAATGTAAGTTAAATATTAACTGTATTGTAGTTTTCACTCGCAGCTCAGTTAGGTGCGCCCTCTAGAGACGATATCTAACTAAGTAGTTGCTTGTTGGGAATGATGCTCACCATAGAGGGCGCAATAGATTGGGCTTGTATAATTGTGTGTTTAAATTTGTCATTTAAGTGTGTATAAGATATCAGTGCCAGTGTTTTAATAAAATCTTTGTCATATAAATTTTGTGAAATATTTTTAGATCGGTATGTATCTGTGAAATGCTTTTTAAATTGAGAGGGAATGCGAAACTGAAACGTGAGTGGCTTGGGGGAAGGTGGGATTTATAAATTGTTGTATATAATAATTCTTCAAAGAATGAGTTTGTACAGTCTCCTGTGTTGATGCAAAATTCTCGTAAAATTCTCGCTTCTGTACTACAAGACAGTTGAGTGCAATCAATGTGTGTAGTAGATTCACATCACAAGTAAACTAAAAAAGTTTCCTCTGATGACGGGGTTTTAATTCTAGTCACATCAATATAACCAACTTTATATTGGAGTTCATCAATTCAATATTATTAAGATATTTTTCTGTCCAATGATGATGGCTTTCTTTGAGCACAAATCTGGGAGGACCCTGTCATTTTATACGTTCAGTTGGAAAACCGTCATTGTTATGGGATTTAAATTATGTGATGAAGTCTATTATCACTGACGTTATAAAGAACAACTACATTTACAGGTAACGTATCATTTGAAAATCAAAAGAATTATGGAACATTATCATTGCTGAAACTAATATAAAAATAAACTGTTTTTTTTTTTTCCTTGCCAGAAAAAAATAGTGACACGTTGAGCCACGTTCTATAATATTGGAGAGTATTTATGCAATAAATAATTTTTTTGCTGCACGCAATACTTTTCCATATATTTCATAATGACAAAAGAAAACAATTTTATACCCTCGCTGTTGTTCAATTCGATGAAAAAGCGCCCTCTAGTGAGAATTCATTCAAACAATTTTAACACTTCCGGGTTACAAGTCATTTTGCCGAGTCTTTCATCAGAAAGTTCTCTCTTTCGTTTCCGTCTAATTAAGCAAAATGCCGACGATTGGTGTGAAACGGGATCTTCTTTTCCAAGCTCTTGGAACGACAATGAGTAAGTAAAATTATTTATGATGGTACCGGCCTCGATTCATCGGGCGATCTCCGTGCCACATGTCGCACTTCTAACATCATTGCACATG